CCCCCCCAATGTGCCGAATATCGTGACCGTACGTCGAGCGGTTAAGATTTGTGCCCAACTGTTGACGGACGGACGGACGATCAAGCGATTCTACAAGCTGCATCTGACTATGTCAGATGAGCTAAAAATACTGTATTATATGATATATGATATATTTCAATATCAGGTAGCAGTGATTAACAACATTCAACCAATTATCTTCGATCATCAATCGGTTGGGTGAAACTGATGATCGATGATGAAATTCCAACCGATTCCCATTACTACTATTAACCATCTGATGTTATTTAACCAATTTTAACCAATTTATTTATTTACGATATAGTCAGTGCCGTGCCAGTCAGATAAATGTACATGTATGCGTATCAAAGACAAGCAGAGATCGCATGCGTTTACAGGGTTTCTTCTGAGGGAAAATTAGACAAAGGAGGTAATGGCCAGTTTGGGAAAAAAACGCAGATGATGCAAGGTGCTAAAAAAAAAAGGGTTATGAAACTGCCTGGAGGCCTGGAGGCCTGGAAACTGCCTGGAGGCAAAAGTCACTTGCCCGAAAAACATACAGAAATACATAAGATTTTTTTCTAATATAAATTTAAATGGTAAATAACGTAAATGAAGGTCCAACTAGTCAACATTCAGCATTCTTTAGATTACGTCACCGTAACTAGTAAAAGTAAAAAAAATATTTCCACTTTTTCACAAAATCTAAGTAATTCTTTTCACTTTTTATAGTAAAAATTGCTGCATTATACTTCCCATTTTACTATATTGTTCGATGTAAACATACACTCGTGACTCATACATAGCCCATAGCAAGCAATTAATGTCAGGATAATAATATCAAATCATCCAGGTTTTTTGGATTTTTAACTAATTGAGAAACAATCTTACTATGTAAGAATTTGACGATACATTTAGCCCCGTTAGTACTTACTGATAGAAGTTACTACATAGAAAATTCGTGACGTTGTACGGCACGGTAAAAAGTTGAACAGCTGATACACGAGTTTGTGTACAAAATATATTCATGTTGGGACACAGCACGCAGTTTGTTTTAATTTTTAAACGTTTTAATTGTCAGTTTATTATCAAAAACTCACCACACTCACAATAAATTAATAAAATACACTGTATGTTCAAGTTTATTTGGGGCTGGATCGCAGAGAATATAGCGGTGCATGCATGCAGATATAATAGACTGACAGCGCAGTATATACAGTGTATCTGTTTTTGTGTACTTCAGCAAAGAAAATCCTCATTCACAGGTAGGGGTGAGTATTGCGACCAAAAACCGTATTGCAATATATTGCAATACCGCCATGTCAGAGCGGAAAGTAATTTCATGAGTCCTTTCAATAAAGCCATAAAAATGGTAGCTCACTTGCTAAACAAAAAGTTTCAATCCCGCTCCGTCAGACATGTCTCAGAAAATGTCTAAAATTCGCCTGTGCCCCATTGACCTTTGACCTGTACCTCAAATTTCGCGCACAGTGATGGTTTTTCCTACCAGGATGCCTATAGCACCGACATATCACGAGCCTAGGTCGAGCCGTTTAGATTTGCTGCCTGCCCAATTCTGCATTTCCTCCCTATACTTAAGCTTAAGGAGAACTGTTCCCTCTTCTTTTTACACCTCTTGACCTTTGACCCCAGCTTCGACATCCCAAACTCGTTTTCGGATACCCTCCCCCCACATCCCGACTTTCGAATCCGTTACGTCAAGCCGTTTAGATTTGTGCCCAACTGTTGACGACGGACGCACAAACGACGCCACAATCATGCCGTTCTACAAGCTGCATTGACTTCGTCAAGATGAGCTAAAAAACTCAACCACAGCTCACAATAAATTAATAAAATACACTGTATGTTCCAAGTTTATTTGGGGGCTGGATCGCAGAGAATATAGCGCGTGCATGCAATGCAGATATAATAGTACTGACAGCGCAGTATATACAGTGTATCTGTTTTTTGTGTACTTAGCAAACAGAAATCTGCTCCACAGGTTTGCAGTAGAGGGGCAAACATATTGAGTTAGCTAATCATTTAATGGCACGCATGACTGGCCTGGGCGCCGGTTTACATATTAGCTGTATGATATTGTATAAGACTGTTGCACTGATTGTATCCATTCGCATTGTTTTTTTCAGTTCAAATCTCGTCGCCCAGCAAGCAGCGCGGGTTTGTCTGTGCCAAAACAATGCAAAGAACGGGTGGAAACGAATAAAATATCATTATGTCTAGACATTCATAAAAAAAAATTTCTTGCCCGAACGGGCAAGATTGCAATTCAAGCCTATACTTTCCGGTGGGCAAATTTTGGTTGCCCGGCAAGCGGGCAAGCTGGGTTGTCGCGCCCTGATTAACAGTCTTTTTTAGCCGCGTTTTCCCCACCGTCGTAATTTCACCTATGCAGGCTTCTTGACGTACACATTCAGATC